GAAATGTTTTGTAAAGCTATATATAATTTACAACAATCTGGTAAATTATACTTTTGTAAATAAAATTAAAATATTTACATTTTTTTCTACGGACCTGATCCCTCTAGAATTTGGAAACTATTGTTGAGTATTCTTATTTTTTATGACAATATAATTATTTGAATTATTTGAAGTTCAGTAAGAATCTGTTCTTCTTGTAACAGTAGACAATTGGAAACACTGGTTATACCATCCAAGCTATGACCGGAACGTCATGTTTTCTGATAAGCAGCCATCTTTAAAGACTAGGCTTGACTTTCTGCAGCCAGTAAAACCCTTGGGGGGAACAAACTGGCCTGGTACCTTGAATAAACAGTTCACATGGTTGCCTCACTGCAACCTCTGCCCCGCCAAGTTCACGTGATTCTCCTGCTTCAGCCTCCTGAGTATCTGGAATTACAGGTGCCTGGCATCACGCCCAGCTAATTTTTGTATTTTCAGTAGAGACAGGTTTCACCATGTTGGCCAGGCTGGTTTCGAACTCCTGACCTCAAGTGATCTGGCCACCTCGGCCTCCCATACTGCTAGGATTACAGGCGTGAGTCACTGCACCTGACCTGCTTTCAAGTATTTTATTCCTTTTGATGCCATTGTAAATGACACTGTTTTCTTCATTTTATTTTTGGACTGTTTATTGTTACTGTATAGAAACACAACTGATTTTTGGATGATTTTGTGTGTGTGTGTGTGTGTGTGTGTGTGTGTGTGTGTGTGTGATCTTTAGGAGTTTCTGCATGTAAGGCCATGTCATTGGCAAACAGAGATGATTCTATCTTTTACTTTGTAATTCTCTTCCCTAGTTGTCTGCTGGGACTTGCAGTATGCAGAAGGGTTAGATGGAGCATCCCTGTCTTATTGCTGCTCTAGAGGAAATCTTTCAGCTTTTCACCATTGGGCATGAAGTCAGCGGTAGCCTTTATTATGTTGAGGTCGTTTCCCCCCTACTGACCTGTTAGTCAAACCTCTTTGTATTTTTTTTTTGTTTAGTAGTTTCTCTGAGAATTACAATATTCAGCCGTATTACAGTCTAGTTCGAATTAATATACAGTCACTTTTACATTTTACTCTTGAAATCTGACTTCTCCCATTTCATAAGTTTCAAAAACCTTCACAACGGCTTATTCCACCTAAACATTCCACCCCCTTCATTTAAGCCGTTCTTCTCATATCTCCTAACTCTTCGTAAGTCATCACTTTTATGATAGTGTTATTCTTTTTACTTTCAGCAGTTATTTTTAACGATATTTATGAAAGAAAAACATAGTCTTTTATATTTACTCACATATTGATCATTTACAATCCCTTTTTTCTTCCTGTGTATATTAATTTTCATCTCGTGTTATTTTCTTTCAACTTAAAGAAGATTCTTTAGTATTTTTTTTTGTAGTACAGGCCTGTTGGTAACTAATTCCCTCCTCTTTTGTTTATCTGAAAATGTCCTTATGTCATCTTACATTTTAAAGAAAAATTTTCCATTTATAAAGCATATTCTGTATGATTTCAATCCCCTCACATTTATTAAGGTCCTAATTCCAGCGCCTAACCATAAGGAGGACAGATGGCACGTGTGCCGTGGTCAGTGATGGGGACAAGCACTCTAAGGAGCTAGGGCTGCCGATGTTTAGGGACGGTGAGGGTTGCCATGGACCAACAAAGGCCCAGCAGGGCTGCCGAAGCCGGGACGGATTAATAGGGCCAACCAGGGCGGAAGCCGACGGACAGGGGCTGCCTTGGGATATCACTTTCAAATTGCATTGATTCTACAGCTAGAAATGACCTTAAAGCTTTTGCCACTTTTCAGAGGTAAAAACTGAAGCCTGGAAAGGCAATTTTCTCAGAATCACACAATTGCACCATACCAGGATCTTGACTCTGGAATCAGCTCTCTCTCCTCTGTTTTTCCTTCCGTCTCACCTGTCTCTCCATGAAGGCGAGGCACCAGAGTGCTGACTCATGTGGACAGCGCACTCCTGAGAGCTCATGCATGTCCTAGAGAGACTTGCAGCAGGTTCAGGACAAAGGTTGTTTCAACGTGTGGAGTAAATTTTTCATGTTTTGCATTATCTAAGTGAAACCCTGTGGGCGATTTCTTTACAGTATTGTCGACCCTTGAAAACAAGTTGCACTAAGCCCTTATAAGCATTAGGTGCTGCCGACCGCTTCTGAGTGAAGACGCCCAGATCATAGGCACGTAGGTTTGGGATCACAGCCTCTGGGTACTTAATATTAATCACCTGAATGACGTATTTCTTTTACCTCTTGCTTTTTAGCTTTCATTTCCAACCTTTTCCAGGTTAGAAGGTTCGAGACCTGGAGTCCGGCTGGGAGCACCCCTAGGATTTATTGGATTGAATTCCTTCCCTTATGTCTCTTTCTTCATGTGTTGGCATGCATGTTAAAAATTCATACTGGCAATCGTTTATTGATCCAAAGCTTTAGCGACATTGTCCAAACATGGTCATTAAACAATATGATCATTAACGTTATCATAAAACAAAGATGGCCCCACCCAGGCACATTGCGACACTCTCTGTGGAGCCTTGGGAGCCTCCGGGGATCTATGGACACACTAATCTGAAGCAAGTCACTCCGAGTTGACACCCACCATAGCCCGTGAGACACTCAGGGAGGCATATTTTGGGTGCACCCTTGTTAGTGGTGGAGAACAGTGGAATTCCCTCTTACATTCAGCTTTAAAATTTGGAGTGCTTAACCTCTCCCAAAGTGAGCTCAGAAGCCATCCCAAAGTGAACCATCTGGACTGCTACTGCTACTCCTGCGTCACAGTCCAGACAGTCCCTGAGCCTCTCAGACACTCACGGAGCACAGGTGTCTGGGCCTCGTACCTCCATGGGCCGTCACCAGGGGAAGAAGTTCTCCTGCTAGCACGTGTGATGCTCAGTGTCCAAGATGCCCATCAAACCCATCAGCATGCACCTGCCTTTTCCCCTCCCCTCTCATCCTTTGCTTCCCCTTCCCTCTTCTCCCCTTCCCGTCCCATCTCTTCCCTTTTCTTCCCACCCTTTCTCTCCTCTTCCCTTTTCCTTCTTCCCTTCCCTGCTTTCCTTCCATTTTTCCCTTCTCTTCCCTTCCCTCTCTTCTCTTATTCCCTTCCCTTCTCTTCCCTTCCTTTCTTCCCTTTTCTTTCTTTTCCTTTCATTTCCTTCCCTTCCTTCCCTTCCTTCCCTCCCCTTCCCTTCTTCCCTTCTTCTCTTCCCTTCTTTCCCTCCTTCCCTTCCCTTTTCTTCCCTTCCCTCCCTTCCCCCTCCCTTCCTCCCTCTATCCCTCCATCTGTTCCTCCATCCCACCCTCCTGTTTATAGCAACAATAATACCACACAGCTCAAAGAAATAAGAATAACATTGTTTTCAAAGTAACAACCAATTAGAATAAACTTTCCTTTTCCTTATTTTTTAATAAGAAAAAAATTTATTTAATTGTAAAAAGCATGACCTCTTATTGGGCAAAAGAATTCTGATCCTTGGCGAACTCCCCTGAGATGGGAGTGGTAATTTAGGTTGTGTTTCTCTTTTGCAGCATTATATAAAAAGTGACATGGTGATCCTGTGTATGGGCTTGACTTAAATACAACAGAGAAAGAGAAGGGGAACACACACTGGCAGAGGACGGAGGCAGGAGAGGCATTTTGGAGTTAATAAGCGTGGCCAGTGTCTACCTTCCTTCCCTGGAAAGCTGGCCTGGAGCCTCGGAGGTTTTCTCAGGCCCCAGGTGATGTTGTAATGCTAATAACACCTAACATGTGCTAAGCACTTGCTATAGACCATGCACATTTTATGTCTTTTTTTTTTTTTTTTTTTTTGAGGCAGGGTCTCACTCTGTTGCCCAGCCTGGAGTGTAGTAATACAGTCATAGCTTACTGCATACTTGAGCTCCTGTGCTCACACAATCCTTCCTACCTCAGCCTCCTGTGTAGCTCAGACCAGGCACATGCCACTATGCCCAGCTAATTAAAAAAATTTTTTTTCAAGACTGGGTCTTGCTAAGCTGCTCAGCCTGGTCTCAACCTCCTGGCCTCAAGCAAAATGCCCACCTTGGCCTCCTAAAGTGGGCCACTGCACTCAGCCGTGTTTTACAAGCCTTTACATGCATTGTGTAATTTAATTTTCTGTACCATGACAGAGCCGCTCTAGGGAACCCCCAGAATCTGGGGCTTTGCTAAGTCTGTCTGCTCCCCAGCTCATGTCTGCCTCCCATCACTGACCTCCTCCTGTTTCCCACTCCGCCTCGTCCTCCCCGTCCTGAAGCCTGCGTGATCGTTGCTCGCTCTGCTTTTCCATCCCAAGCTCTCATCCTCCAGCTCTCTCATTCACTTCCATCCTCTTGGGGCAAAACTGCTTCAGGCCATTCTGCCAGCAACGAGTTCCTGTTGTCCAACTCTGGAAGCTTCTCCTTGGCTCTAGGGCTCCTCTACAAAGTGCCTCCTCCTATGGGCACCAGCAGCTAAATCATATCTGAAAAATAAAGTAACACTGCATATAAAAAAAGTAAGTGGCCAAGACACAGACAAATACTTGTTTTCAAGGGCTGTGACTATGGACACATGGTTGGGAAATTGACAAACAGGCCCACCGGAACGTATTGTCTCCCGTTTATGCCCTGAGTCCAGAGGTTTGCGTGACTAAGTTACAAGTGAAAAAGGGTTTAAATGAGGCCACGATGTGGGATAACATGAAATTAAAACTGTGCCCTTCTCCTCGGTCCCTCCCTTTGGTTAGCCCAACTGCAAAGTGAGTGTTGACTTTGTCATCTTCTAAAATTCCATCTCTGTGGGTGCTTGTATTTCTGGAACATTCACCAAAAATAATAAGGTTGAACTCTCTCCCCTGGTGTTAATTCTGGGTTGTTTGGGAACCTGGCTTATCTGAAGGAGTCGGCCTCTGGACTTTCTAGTAAAGGGTGAGTATCGATGTGTGGAAAAGGGGGTGCTGTTCCTTTAAATTCTGAAAGTGAACTTGGCTCAGGAAGGCCAGCGGCTCAAGGTCCAGCCCCTGGAAGAGAGAATAGCTACAGATTCTCCATCCTCGGCCTCTGCGAGGCGACGGCTGTGCCAGCCGGGCTCTGGCAGGCTTCCGGCAGGCTCGTGGCAGCATGGCAGTGAAGCTTGGGACCCTCCTGCTGGTCCTCGTGCTGGGCCTGGCCCAGCCGGCCTCTGCCCGCCGGAAGCTGCTGGTGTTTCTGCTGGATGGCTTTCGCGCAGACTACATCAGCGATGAGGCGCTGGAGTCACTGCCTGGTTTCAGAGAGATTGTGAGCAGAGGAGCAAAAGTGGATTACTTGACCCCAGACTTCCCTAGTCTCTCATATCCCAATTACTACACCCTCATGACTGGTGAGTACCATGTCCTATCCTGGGCAGGGAGGGGACGGCTGGAGTCCAGCAGGGAGCGGGGAGCTCTCGGCATCAGAGTCTTATGGAAATGCTCAGGGTTCTGTAGTCCTTTGGGACGTCAAAGGTAGATAGGAAATCTGCGTTCTTGGCTGAGAAGACGTTTGTTTTCACGGTTATATTGGTTCCCAAAAGTCATCCCAAGGACCTGTCTTGGGTTCTCAGTGCGGAGGACAGAGACCGATGGAAATAGATGATATTTGATGATATTAAAAGTGGTTGTTTATTTTAGAAAGAGAAATTCTAATGAACTCCATATTTTCTAAGTTCAAGTTTGCGAAATCAACAGATCTTCATGCATCCGTCCCAAATTCCTTCTGTCCCTTTGCTCTGCGGTCATGTCAACCTGGAGTCCCGTGGGCTGGTTTTTCGGTGTGTTCGACTGTGAAACTACCTTTGGGGCCTTCGGACGGGAGAAGGGCTCCTGCATTACATGGGGAAGAAGTGGATTTTTAGGCCATATCCTTCCCTGTAACTTAGCAATGCCACTGTCCCCTTCTTTTGCCTTTTTTAGCCAGGTAAAATGATACGGAGAGAAAAAACTGTGTAGTTCAGGGTCCCATGTATGATTTGCAGCCTCTGTGAAAGACCAACAGCAACTCAGCAAAACAAATAAAACCCCGGCCAACCCGACTGCCTGGGCTTGGGGTAGCTGGTTTTCCTAAGGACGGTCTTCAGCTGGAATTGCCAGAACTCCAAACGTGAGTTCATGAACCTGAGCCTCTATCTGCCACAGAATGTGCAGCCTTCTCCCTGCTCACAGAGTTGGATTCCCAGTTTCTGGTTTGTTATTCAGCTAACCTTTGTAAGGGCAGTGAGAGGCTCTTAGAAAGAATTGAGCAAACGACCCAGAGAGGCTCACGCACTGTTATTGCTGGTTATGCGAGACTCAGCTCTGTGCTCTGAGCATGGGGAGAACTCTACCCATTAGGGTAACAGAAAGAGAATGAGATCTCTGCTATCTCCTTGTGGATCTCCACAGAGCACTAAAGTTGAAGGAATCTGAAACACACACTTATGTCTCTGACTCTGTGCATAGACACTATACACACGTGTATGTAAAAACGCCGTAAACTGATGCCCCAAACTGAAGACAAGAGATCCTTTGGAGAAGTAAGTGAAGGCATGAGACAGAGAAAAAAATTCAGATGGCACACCAGCAAGGAAGTTATGTATTTGTTTTTTATTTCCCCAACAGACACAAAAAAACAGTCTCTAAGATGAACAGAATTAACAAAAGTCTCTCGCCTCCCTTGGCACGCCTCTCCCTTTGCAGGGAAGCGGTTTGCAGGCTGCTGGGTCACACATAGATACGATTGTGTGCATGGTGGACTCCAGCTCTGTGCAGCGGCTTCACACACACAGCCCACCCCCACTCCAGCTGTCTTTCAGAGCCTCGCTGGGGGACCCAATTCATAAACTGCCACGCCACGTGCAGCTTCTGCAATCTCAGTGGAAAATGAACAAAATCCATTTTAGAAAGGACTCCAGTAAGTAAAAGGACCATTACAGATTCCACAGAGACACTAAGCCTTTTGTTTGTGAGACACACTCCTGACACCGACACAAGGGATCATCTGCACACAGCCTCCGTCATGCTTAGACACACCTTCGTTTCGGGCTATGGGTGTTTCCCCTTGGCTTGTCCTGAGAGAAGAGTCCCTTCCAATAGGGGCAGCACAGGTCCCGTGAGTGTCTGGCAAAGATCTCACCCTCGTTTTCAAACTGAGGCTGGCCCGAAGAAGCCAAAGGTCTCCACCTGTGTTAATTCTCTGTATTTTCAGATGACCAAATGTGTTCCCTGATGTGAAAGTCGGTTTAGTCTGTATGTTGGCTTTTTCTACGTTCTTAGAAGCTACCCTGCACATGGGAGGTATCTAGCCAGGCTCATGTTTATGTACAAATGTCCTTGGCGTCCTTTGGTATGATTTGTCCTGTACCCACTGGGCAGACTTACAGACTTGAAGCAGGATTCCCGGGCTGGGAGATGCCAGGCCATGGAGCTGGTGCCATCTCCACTGTCTTGGAACTTACTCAGGGTGAAATTTAGAGGATTTTCCCCAACACCCATGCATAGAAGGATCTGGCCATTGGGAATTGTACCTAAACATATGGTTTGAGCATTTGAGCGTTTTATAAACCAGCGAAATCGCTATGCTAGATCTTTTTGGTACCAAAAGATATGCCGTTTTAGGGTTCCTTAGAATGCATGAGAGGCTGTGCTCTCACCTCATTACCTGAATTATTGCTCATTAGACAGAAGGCCCTCGGTGTTCTTCCCTTGCATGACGACGAGTGATGAGTTGTTGGAAAGAAAGCTGGCCTTTGAGCTGGGAGAGCCTGCCTGGAGACTTCAGGCAAAATAAAATGAGATGAACTGCCGGGGCTGTATCAGGCTGAGATTTCAGGTGCTGCTGGATGCAGATATAGAACTAGGCAATGCATGGGGAATTTTATTTTATTTCACTTGAAGTTCTGGGTTACAGGTGCAGAATGTGCAGGTTTGTTCTGTAGCTATACACGTGCCATGGTGGTTCGCTGCACCCATCAACCCATCATCTAGGTTTTAAGCCCTGCATGCATTAGGTATTTGTTTTAATGCTCTCCCTCCCCTAGACCCCCAACCCCTGACAGGCCCCAGTGTGTGATGCTCCCCTCCCTGTGTCCATGTGCTCTCATTGTTCAACACCCACTTATGAGTGAGAACATGTGGTGTTTGATTCTCTGTCCTGTGTTAGTTTGCTGAGAATCATGGCTTCCAGCTTCATTCACGTCCCTGCAAAGGACATGAATTCATCCTTTTTTGTGGCTGCACAGTATTCCATGGTGTAAATGTGCCACATTTTCTTTATCCAGTCTCTCACTGATGGGCATTTGGGTTGGTCCCAAGTCTTTGCTCTTTGATCTGGAATTTTAAAGTTAGGACTGACCTCTCCTAGGAGGACTTCATCTAGAAATTATGCAAATGGCTGAAATTCCCTTGAGAGGGAGAATTTCACAGTGATGGGGATGGGGAAGCAACAGAAACCGTCTAGCCCAGTCGCCGCCCCGAAGCCACCGTGGCTGATTATTTATTTCCCTCAGAACATGTTTAGGACAAATGTAAGCAAAATGCCAATAATGACCTTGAATATCCATCAGTGGATTGCCGGGAACGCCGAATCTTAAACCGGCTTTTCACCCAGGGAGGTTCCATTCAAGTAGGGGAGGAAGGACACCTGGGAATGGGTGCTGTTCCAAAGTGCACGGCAAGGTGTTGTGAGCCCAAATGTGCCCTCATCCGCCTGTCCCCCAGTTCAAGTTGGGGTTCCGACCCCCAGCACCTCAGAATGCGACCGCATTTAGAGATAAGGTCTTTGAAGGCGATTAAGTTAAAGCAGGACCATTAGAGTGGGGCCCTGTTCCAATACGACAGTACAGGAAGGCGGAGAGACCCAGGCCGCACACGTGCAGAGGAAAGGCCATCTGAGGGCGGGGAGGGGCCCGGGAGACGCCACGAGCCTCCAGCTTCCAGAACTGTGAATAAATAAATTGCTGTTGTTCTCGCCGCTCCATCTGTGGCACTTTATAATGGCAGCCCACGCGAACGAGTATACAAAGAACAGGGGACATGGTCCCAGTGGGCTACAGAGGGCGGGGGGCGTTCCCTCCAGGTGTGGCCGCGTGAAAAGGCATTTTAAAGAGGAGAGCTCTGAGCGGGAGGAAACAGCCACCGGCCTGGCGCGTGTCCCTACACCTCCCTTTAGGCATAGGCTCTCTTTCTGAAGAGGGGCGTGTGGGTCCACGTCATCCTAGTGAAAACACCACGGTTTAGACGCCCTTGACATGCTTTCCCGTTTACTCTTACTCTGGATCTTTGCGCAAAGTTATTCTCTCTTTGGGGTAAATTCACATTTGATCCAAGTGACGTTTAACATAAAGCAGCGATGTGTGGAATCCAGAGCGCTCCGTCTGCTTGGAAGCGGCATAACTTAGCACGTTCTGCCAAGGCTAATGGTCACATTTGTTTGGGATTCCCAAACACTTCTGGTTAGGCAGCTGGGGAAAGTGGCCCAGAAACCTTCTGAGTAGCAGGGAAGCCAGTCTGGAATTTTATCTTTACTGCCAGTGACCTACCAAGAGACGAACGGGTGCTGAAATCAGTTTGTTCCACGGTGTATTAATCTTTCAACGTGTAGACACTAGTAAGTAAAGCGCAGGGAGGTTGAGTGTTTTGTTTCAGGCACCAAAGAACGTCGTGGCAGAGCTGAGCTGGGAGAGTAGGCGCAGAGACCCCATTCTCACCCAGCAACTGGCCAGGGCCCAGGCCTGTGTCTTGGAGAGGCCAGAAGATTGTGCAAGTGCCCTGAGACCCAAGGATGGAGATCTCCCCGAGACAGTCCAGGAAGCAGCCAGAGACCGAATCATGGTTCTCCGCTGTGGAAATCAAGGCACAGCTGGGATGCTAACTACTCAGAATTACTGTTTGTGCCAAGGTATTTTGTCTCGCACTCCTAGAAATTACTTGTGACACAAATTCTTACCAGATATCGAGACTCCAATGTTCTGGAGTGAAACAGCAGAGTAAGGTATACTTCCTACCACCCCACCTTTTAAGAAAATATCTGATTTAAATGCAAACTGGACCAGACGCAGTCAAGCTGTTACAGCAGCTTCCTAGAGCTTTCTAGAGCTCTGTAACAAATTTGGACGCCAAAGTCTGAAATCTAGGTGTGAGATGGGGTCTTTGAATAATCATGTTTTGAGAAAGCTCACATCCTCAGACTTCTGCAGAATTCAGGCTTCCTTTGAGGGGCTGCTCACAGACTCTGCACATGCACAACCCCAGTTAGGGTGGAGACAGCCCCCCTGGGACCCTCCCCTCTCCTTCCCCCAGGATCAGCAATTACATGGGGACATTCCCCCAGCTTGTGAGCCTCTTTCAATGTCGATACCTCCTGAGA